GATATACTTTCACTTAGTATTCTATCAAAACACTTGAAGACGCACATTTATTAGTATTCTATTAAAACACTTGAAGACGCACATTTATTAGTATTCTATCAAAACACTTGAAGACGCACATTTATTAGTATTCTATTAAAACACTTGAAGACGTACATTTATTAGTATTCTATTAAAACACTTGAAGACGCACATTTATTAGTATTCTATCAAAACACTTGAAGACGCACATTTATTAGTATTCTATCAAAACACTTGAAGACGCACATTTATTAGTATTCTATCAAAACACTTGAAGACGCACATTTAATGTTTTCACTAACATTTTTCACAGCGTTCCGGCTTCCCTCAAAACAATAGTTATTGCAAAGCATATTATCAAAATGCTTGACAGCATTTCGTCTTTCCTCACAACATTAGTTATTACAAGGCAAAAAAACTTTTACTTTAACATGAGAAATGTTTGTATTTAAATGAAAATTATTGTAAATGACTCAGCATTTCTTTCCTGAGACCAATCCCTCTCTGGCCCACCAAAATAAAACAGTATCTTTGAGTTTGCCTAAACCACGAAAGGTCTTTCGTTCTCACGAGAAACTGATAAATAAAACAACAGATATACTTATAGATGTTGAGTTAAAATTATTATATCAATCCTTCCAAAAAAATGCAAACAAGACAGTAGGGATGGTATTTACATCATTCCTATATAATAAATAGCACAGGCACATAGTGTAGTAGAATGTTAACAGACAAAAATAGGATAAATTAAACTCAATTGTGATTGAATAGTTATATATTTTGCTATATGTTAATTATTGCATGTGCTATTTTGTAGGGATGATACAAATGCCATACTTACATTCTTATTTGAAACGTTTTTTCTTTACTTGTTTTTAATGCAGTGTTTCAATAGACATAGGAAGATTGTATGTATAGCCAAGTTTTAAATACACTGAGGTTCCAACTGTAATATTTATTGTTTATCTATTATTGACTGGTAATTCCTGTTTCACCCTGTACGTTTTTAAGAGAATACCAAATTTATGTAAAAAAGCTAACTTCAAGAGGTAATGATAACATCGTTTACACTAGAATTATGATTTTTTTTTTATTTAATACTAGTTATTAATAATACATACGAAAGCGGATACTCCGTTTGGAATTATGTCACCTCAGTGAAATTGGTTGACACCATTGTTTTGGTTTTTGAGTTATCATGTTAAAAAAATAAGAACAGGAAATTCAAACTTTTTGCTAGGATAGTTACAGACATTCCCAGAACTTGTGACTCAGTCATTACATAGATATTGTTATAAAACGAAACACTGTATAGTATTGTAAAGTTCTGATGACCTATTGAGGAGATATTTAAAATACCATTTCGATGAGTACTTCGAGCCATCCCTACTTGCATGATATGTGCCAATAATGCTACAAAGCCTGAGTACCATTGTATTACAATAGAATATCTAGCATTGGATAAACACGTTTTAATAAAATAATCTAATATTGAGTTTTCTGTGAGATGACGTATTGTATAATAAGCAGAAATATGCAATTACAGAGAAGCGATTATCTGTGTTTGATATATTATGGCTTGTCGAATGAATGGGATCACCTTTTTCTTTTTTTCATGTAGGTCGGGTGTGGCTTATTGGTTATTGTACTGAACTGTGTACCTGAAGGTCTATGGCTTAGAGTACGTGGGTGTGTTATAAGAGTGATATTTAAACTCCACTATTCAATTAACGTAGTAAAAGAATTGGCAGTGAGCAATGTTGACCAGATATTTTCCGTTAGTCTATCAGTAAAAACCTGGGACGGTATTACGTCGATTACGAAATTTATGAAAGAAAATCTTTTTTTCCTATAATAGACTTCTCCATGCCGACAGATAGTTTTAAGCAAGGAATTTCTTATGGTATTTTGTGTGTTAGAGTACAAACGGTATCACTTTACAATAACTATTGTGCTAATTATATTGTATGATTCCCAATTACACTCGTGATTTTCTTTTCGATTAAGGAATTACATAAAATATGAATTTGTATTTTCAAAGCCTAAGACTAGTTGTGAAAATGTTCTCCAAATATTATCTTTCGATTAAGTTAAAATTAATGGATTGTTCAGCCAATCTCAAGTCAATGGTAAGAAATGTCGAAATAATGGCTTAGTCAGATTATCAAAATATAATTCTTTGGAGCCTAGTTTTCAGGATGTTAAACGTAACCTAGGCCACTAACATCTATACTCTTTAAAGTACGCAGACTCTTTAGCATAACATCGGTTCAAAATAGTAAATATTTTAAGAAACGTTGTAAAAATTTCGAAAAACGAAAATTTTAAAAACTGCTATTCAAACACTTTCCTAGCAAGAAACGTAAATGGTTAATTCTATTTTTGTTTTCTGTAATATCTGAGTGATCTAATTTTAGATATTCTCACATTCTCTTATTCAGTTGGTCCCGGCCCGGTATGGCCAGGTGGTTAGGGCGCTATCTGAGGGTCGCGGGTTCGAATCCCCGTCCCACCAAATATGCTCGCCCTTTCAGCCGCCAGGGCGTTATAATGTTACAGTCAATCCCACTATTCGTTGGTAAAAGAGTAGCCCAATCGTTGGCGGTGGGTGGTGAGAACTAGCTGCTTTCCCTCTAGTCTTACACTGCTAAATTAGAGACGGCTAGCGCAGATAACTCTCGTGTAGCTTTGCGCGAAATTAAAAAAAAACAAAACAGCCCCCCCCCCCCAGTGGCACAGCGGCATGTCTGCGAACTTGCAACGCTAGAAATCGGGTTTCGATACCCGTGGTGAGAAGTGTACAGATAACCCATTGTGTAGCTTTGTGCTTAAATCCAAACAAACAGTTGTGACATCTTCAGTTTATTTTCTCGAAAATAATGAAAATAACATCTTTATGGGAAAATATGCTTCAACTGAATTTTAAATAAGTGGGCGCAAAAGAACATTTTCAGCAACTGCGTCGCTGTAATAAGTCGATACAATAGGTATCACGTCGTTTCCCTGAAAGGGGGCCAAGTCCGCGTTAGGGGGTCACCTGTTTTAATCACTTGCACCATTATATAGAAGTGTGTTGTCTGTCAGTCAGTCAGCAGATACTAAAATGACGTCACATAGGGGACACTTAACTTTCCAACTTGTGCTGTCGTGACGTCAATAAAACGTGCACATGCTATGAATCACGAGAAGAATTATGCAATCTGTAGACTACGACACGGCATGACATATGAACTTTCAAAACAAGAAGTAAAAATATGTGTTACTCTTTATTTTGGTATTATTTACTCTTGAAACAGAACACTTTTGGGAACTCTGGGGAAGTACATCTAGCATATTGAAGTATGATAGCGAAAGGTTCTGTTCATGGCTCAAATAAAAATTATGCATAACATAAAACTATCGTTAAGTGCATGTCTACACAGACCGAATTCAACTAACAAAAATTCCAAAATTTACTGTTTCGTAACTTATTAAAAGAGTAATGATAATAGTTAAAAACGACCGTGTGATTTTGACGTTCTAATTATGCGTGTCCACGTGCGAAAATAAGTTGTAATACGTAGGAAGTTTGAAAATCACAGCTGTTGATCACTGGCGTAGCCTCGCTAAACTTAGGTCATTAACCCTTGAACAGGATATTTCCCTGGTGTGATATAATGCAGTGATGAGGTGTAAAAAAACTGTTCAGTTACTTGATAGGAAATGGATCACACTTATGATGTTTCATTTTAAAAATCTGCCTGTTGTGTCGTGTGAACATACCTTATAGTTGTGCATAAAAGAAAATTGCTGAATAAAACAAACAAAAAACACGTATAATATCCTTAAATCCTTTATTAATCTATCTTAGAAATCAAAATTATTTCACACTATGTACCAGTACCATCAATAGGAGTTAAAACTAAGTTTTTTTGTGTTTTTTTAATAACAAGCCCTTACTTCATTTCTAAGCCTAAAAATAACGCTTTTTATCAGAAATAATAAAAGACTTGCTTTTTATAGCACATCTCTTGAAAAAAGTAAGTTTTTATTCGAGATGAAACCCGCACTTAATTTAATATCAGTACAAAACTATGGAATCATTACATTGTGACTCTGGCATAGAGAGCACTAGTCTGATAAAATATAAAAACTGAAAAAAAAAATGTGATGTAACGTACACTTTTTACTTCTAATTATATTTTACAATATACAGAAAATAAAACTAGGGCATTACATACTCAGATTATGCACTTTACTACTCAGTACAAATGTAAATCAACTTTGTTTGATATTTATGGACGTCATTTCCTTTTGACCAGCGTAATAGTACGTGCCTTACATATTTTGAGTATATATATACTGGGGAGCAGTTGAGTGTAAATCTAATTAATGAATAATTAAATGTAGCTAAATAAATCTTTTTCTCTTCAAAAATTCCATTCTTACTTAACCTTTAATGAGTTTACATTAGTATCATCAACGATTTTATGAGTCTGTAAAGTCTCTATATAGAAAAAACATGAAATGTTATCATAGAATGTTCTTACTTGAACCACATGCTGTGTCAGTTAAGAATCCTGTCTTTATAATGTTTCAGCAGCAATTTCTGCCGTTAAAAAACTTGTGAACCATCTTTGTTATAAATAATAATAAATTTATGTATTTTTTTGTAATTGCTAATACTCCACGTCATTTCTCGTATTCAAATACGATTTTCAATGTTAATCAGCTAGTTGTTAACACGTGAGTTTCAAATTGTGACAGAAAGCTCCAAAGTGTTAATTCTTTCTCTTCTGTTTTACGTATTCGGGTGCATAATTACACGTAGGCGTGAATGCGTGATTGGAACTGAAAGGATTGGTCACATGTGTTTTTTTTAAACTCTTTAACACATTCTTATCGTTGTTTAAATGATGCATAATTAACCAGTAGGTAATAAATGACAGTGTCGTGTATTACGCATGATATTTATTTTTGCTCTGTTTTTTTTATTTCAGCTAGTATATGCAGTTGCATTCGTTATTGAGTTGTGGTGGATCATAGAAGCTGAAGGTGAATCTCTTTTTGTTTTGTATTTATGATTTAAAAACTTATCAGTAACATTAATGTCATATGGACTTTATTTAAGATGGCAATTCTCTAAAAGCTGCCTATATCAGTTTTTCGAATATGTGCAAATGTAAAGTTATAGACTAATCTATGTAGAGAAGGAAATAAGACCCGAGTATTTATACAGTTCAAACAAATTGTTCGATTTCCATTTTGAATATTGATGCCTATCTTTGAGTACAGTCTACAAACGTGGAAAAGGCAAAGTGACTTAAATGAAAACATTATAATTATAAAAATAAAATGTAGCAAGATAAATTTTGAGCGCGGTTACTCACACTTGCTCTTTTATCCTAAATAAAGATCTACATAAAAGAGTAGTTTTAGAATCAGTATTAAATTTTACTTTCATATTAGTTTACAGATGCATAAAAAGTGACCAGATCTTCCTATACCCTCAGTATCCAGTCCTCTTCCCACAAGAAGTGATTAATAACAAAATTGACTTTCGACGCTCCCACAGTATCTGAAAGTTAGATTCAAGCGAATGTAAAACATGGCTATTAAAGCGCCAAAATTATTTGGTTAACTAAAGCGTATAATTTGCTTTCAAATTATAACCGTGAAGCGTAGCTTTCTGATTTTAAGTAATTTTAAAGAACTAAAATGCAATGAGAAGACCTAAGCTATTTACTACAATAATACGAATATTCTTTAGTTTCCAAACTTCTATTAACAATTATAATAAAATGAATTTTTGATTTCAAACTAAACTTGAAAGAACAATGAACATACAAAAGTTACGTAAGCTTAATTAAACTCTATTATTCTTTATACTTAGGTTTATAACAGATATTGAATGCCATCAAACATACGACAGAAGCTTAGTTTTCTAGGAATAAAACTCCACAAATGCCTAAATAAACATTAGTTTTGTTCTCGTCGGAAAGTAACATTGCTTTGGAAAACGTCTGAGCTACAGCTATTAAGAAACACAACTTTAGACTCGGGTTAATGTGTTTGTTCTGAAGCAAAGCCACATAGGGTTATCTTCTGTGTTCACCGCGTGGAATCGAACCTCGGATTTTAGAGTTGCAAATCCGTAGACTTACCGCTATCCCACCGGGGGACATACTCATGTTAAAGAGAAAACTGAAAATAATTCTTCAATATCATCCAATTACAATAACCAGAAAAACATATGTTTAGCCTTCTTTCTTATCTCAGAATAGGCATGTTTCAAACTATTATACAAAAATATAAAACATTGGTATTCGGATATTACATAGAATACTTTCATTGAAACATTTAAGACAGAGCTGTACAAAAGATGCGGGACAATATGCGCTACCTTTAAAAATGGGACAGCTTTAAGCATGTAAGTCCACTGGAGTATCAGATGAATACTTGTTCCAAAATTATGTGATAAAGTTGTGTTTCAATGTATTTTAGTAATTTAGTTTGAAAACTGATAATTTGGAATATAATGCTGAATAAGTTAAAAGAAAATAAAACTGACAATATAATGTTACTTCATGTATTCTTTAACAGCAATAAAATTATTATTTCAGGACCTTATGTATTCTGTTAAAAATACACAAATATGTAAATACATTTTTCTGTGTTTTCTCTAATTAGTCAAACTACCGGTGCCGTCGTATATCTTAGCGGCTGGTTATTTCTTTACCTTGGTGATGTCCTTCGCTTTACTCGCCGGCCTTGGCCTGGTAAGTGGCTCCCTCTAGTAAGTACTTCTCTCAAAACCTGACGTAAGAACTTGCATGACTGCTTTTTTAAACATTTCCTGGATTTTAAATAAATTATAGCAGAAAAAAAACACATAAAAAAACGTTTTCATCCTGAAAACAAACGATTTTATCTAAAGCTTTTTCAAAACTATAATACATGCTTAGATGTTTCAAGTACATGTTTTTAAATAACCATTTTTTTTAGTCTGTCAAGGTAACAGAGACCCATGTTTTAGGAAGATTAATAACACATACTCTTTTTCTGTGAGAACACAAGGTAGTACTTTTGAATAGTTCAAAAATTTTATAAAATGAATAGATGTAGAAATGTATGTAGTATATATATATCTATATATACACCTGGCTGTGTTTATATACGTGAATGTATATATATATATATCTGTATACACCTGGCTGTGTTTATATACGTGAATGTATATATATATATCTATATACACCTGGCTGTGTTTATATACGTGAATGTATATATATATATATTATATACACCTGGCTGTGTTTATATACGTGAATGTATATATACATATATATAATATACATTAAAGGTAACGATGGTCCTCAAGAAATTATTAATATTTAAATTATTCTGTAAGAAATTATAATTGTTGTCATTTTCGTTGGCGTACAGAAAAGATCCAAGTATCTGTTAGGATGGCTTTTTGTGGTGATCCTGTTTTACTTCCCAGAATGTGGATTGGTCTTATTCATGAGCCTTTATTATTGGGTAAGTGTAAAAGATGTAAAAATGTAACTTTACTATGAGAACTTTTTAATTTTATCTAGGAAATAAAACGTACGTATAAATTTTGCAGATTTTACTTGTTTGTTATTAAGCCAAACGGATTACATTTGCCAATCCTAATGCAGGGATCAAACTTCGAATTTAAGCGTAAAAATCTCTCAAGTCTGCCGACTAGCTACTGGGAAGTTTTGTTGTAGAATGACCTGCAGTTTGTTCTTGTAGAAATTTACCACTTCTTAGAACATAAGTTTATCTTTAATTAACCGCAGATGTTATACCTTTGACATTAAGTAAGTCAATTATGACAATTGTATTTCTGGCCAGTGAATAAAACAACAACAACAACAAAAAAACATTTCAGTGACTGGCGTTGAAAGTTGGGCAACGGCTACGTTCTTTCCAATTTCAAACATATATATAATTACTTGACAAAACAAGCCTTATTTAAAGTACAAAAAATAAACTCGCAAAATGATTAACTAATCTGCAAACACACCTTTAAAACGTGCAGAATGAGTTACTGACCTCATTTTGCCTGTTTAAGCCTTACAGGCAGACAACACGACCGTACAGACAATGCAAATATTTCGTTTTTCACCGACGAGGTTCACCAAATTCAGAATTCTACTAATTTGATCTTAATCTAAAAGTAGCACGCTTAACCATTCACAATTCTATTTTTTTTCTTTTTCGTTTTTTTCTGAGCTCCGCAAATTAGAATTTTAGCGAAAAAACTAACTTTCAGTTAGCTTGTTCTGGATTTGGGATATGCCAGTAAGTTAGACTGCTTCTGGGGAATTCCATCCCTCGCCAGTAATCCTAGACAAAGATAGACCAAACAATAAGATGGTGGGTGAATTACACGACATGTTTTAAATATACACTCACAATGTGTAATTATAATACGTATACAGGTATGTTTATGGCCTAACTTAAAAATATCAAAACGTAACGTTTGATATAAGCATCTCTTAAAATATATAGGAAGGAAAGGGGGGGAATCATAGCGAACCCCGTCAAATAGAAATACTAAGGTTATTGATTTTGTTGTATTTCACGTGAGTTTTCCGTATGAGGACAGTGAACATTTCTAATGCTATACTGAATCAATTATCATGGAAATGCAACTTAATAAATAATGAAATGTGTTTCGTATGTTACTTTAATTTTTCATTATTGGAGAGAGGGAGGGGATCGTCACGGCCCACCAAATGCACACATTTGAAGTTTTTTGCTGTTGTTGTTTTTACTGTTCATACTTGACCAGCAGAAAGGTTTTCTGCTTTCATATAGCGTATTGGACATGTGACAAAGGTGGACGTTTGTCAATTCCAACATGAAATTTTGTCAGAGCAGTCCAAACAAATTACAAGCATGTTAATAATGTATCAAAATAAAATCATCTTCTTTAAAAATTAAACCAATTTTTAGAATTTTTAACCAGATGATAAACATAGGCTATGGTTTATAGTAACAATAACAACAAAATACGTTGCAATACATAACCTGATAATAACATTTAACAACAGAGAAATCAAGGAAGGAGCTTTATCAATTAAGTGATATTAATTTATAACACGGGAAAGTGGGATTTTGAACAATCTCTTTCAATATGTTTACGTACGATAGATCCCTAAATTATTATTGTTACAGCCAACATTAGCATTAAAAACTTAGCAAGTTTTAGAAAAGTGACACAAATTTTATGTAATACTGATAAAACTCAAAAATCAATATAAGAACGTATATATATATATATATACATGTACCTTGCAAATAAATGTTACATAATTAGAGTTTGTGTACAGAATCTGAAAAACCAATAAGAGTTTTGTGAATTATGAATTCAGTGATTCAGGAAACATTTTTTTTTGTGTGTGCAATATATATGTAATACATTTATATTTTTAGGGTTTGGACACTTACTACGGATTAACCGAATTTGTATTTTACATCTGCCGGGCAGTAATCAACGTAAGTTTATTTCATATTTGTTTAATCTTCAATTCTGGAGCAATGCTAATACAAATGAGAATTCTTAAAAAGTTTATACAATTTTTTAACGTTATTATCTTTTTCAGACTAATCTATATTAAACTTTCTAATTAGATAAATTATAATGTTTTTGTAGCAAGAAACATAGAAAGCTACCTTAAAATAGTGTATTATCTTATAATAGGCCTCATACTAAGTTCTAATATTCATATAGCTTATAGAAAAACGTTTTTTTTCTTCTAATTCCATAGACATGAATATATATTATATATTATCCTCAAGTCCTTGACCAAACATATTGTCAAAATTAGGTAAAAAGCAAAACCTTCTTTATTTATATTTACTCCTACTTTCTGATCTCCTGTTAAAAATACTTATCATTTTAAGTAAGAATGGAAAAGAAATGTACATTGTTTGCTAGTTGCCAGGAGTTGTATTCCTTGGCTGATAGTAAGGAAACGCATTCCTTGACTAGTTGTCAAGAGCTGTATCCATTGGCTGGTAGTCAGGAAATATATTGCTTGACTATAAGTCAGATAATGTATTATTTGGTTATGAGTCCGATAATGTATTATTTGGCTGTAAGTCAGGAAATGTATTCCTTGGCTATAAGTCAGGAGATGTATTCCTTGGCTAGCAGTCAAGAAACATATTCCTTGGCTAGTATTCGGGAAATGTAATACTTGGCTAGTATTCAGGAAATGTATTCATTGAGTAGAAGTCAGAAAATGTATTTCTTGGCTAGAAGTCAGGAAATGTATTCCTTGGCTATAAGTCAGGAAATGTATTCCTTGGCTAGTAGTCAGAAAGTAATAAAAGGTATAATTATTTGTTTATAACAAAAGAATTATAAAGTACGCGACATGCCATACTATTGCCAAACCAAGACATGTTACTTTAATTCATTGGTAATTTTTGCTGATCAGAAACGTACCAAAACAAGCGTATTAAAAGTAAAATATAAAAGTCTGTAACAATTGGTTCTCCTTCTATTTGTTTTCGTGTACCGTACTCTTGGTTGAAATTGCCACCTCAAACTTATGAGGTATGGAGATGTTTTTACTTATATTATTTTCTTTTTTTCCTTCTAATAAAAGCATGTACACGTGAAGATGACTTAACAGTGAAATTCTTATATTATAAACCAGTACAACTTAGAGATAATATTAATATATTATTTCGTTAGTAATTTACTATATTAAATTAGCATTTCAGAAGTTTTTATTATTCGCTTAATAGGTAGTTTTTGTAAATTAGAAAAGAATCATTTTGGGGAAAAAATCAATGATATTAATAAATGTGTTTTTTTATTACAAGTATTACTATAATTTTTAGAACCTTTAAACTAGAAAGGAAGAAAATTCTTATAAACGTATGTAAGGAAAGACAAAAGAATCGGGCAATTCTTTACTCAATAAAATTTATTTTGGAGGTTTTTGAATTCTATATATTTTTATTGCAGTATTTGTAGAAAAATCCTAGAGATGGCGATACAGTCTACGAAAAAAGTGTAGTTAATAATTTGAGTAGTATTTTATAAGTGGATTTCTTTTTGAAAATATTATTTTATTGATACTAACGCTAAAGATGTAATATGTACATATATTAGCATAATTATCTAATTCTACAAATCAAACCCAAACTTATAGGTCCTTTGTATTGTGTGTGTCCAGTCGCAGTACAGCTCATGGCAGGAAGAAAAAGATGTAATGCGGCGTCTAGAGAACCTAAATGTCGTCCCAAAGTCCAATTATAATTCTGTAAGTATTAAATCAAGTTCTCTGTCATTTAGCTGAACAGAAATTTTAAACTGGCACTAGAACAATTGATTGTTATGAAATGCAGTAATCCGGAGAGAGTGTTACGTCAGCAGGTTGTTTACAAGATCTCAAATCAGCCTGTAGTTTTGTAAATGTTGTGAAACAAGATTAATTAAAAAATGCTGTAAAAACACCCTAAATTGTACAAGTATAATTTATACTATTATTTTTTCAAAATCAAAGCTACCTTTTTACGTAACAAAAAAGAAAGGTTTTTTTTTGTTCTTCGAGCACTAAACTACACAATGGAGCTTTGAACCTCGAATTTTAGCTTAATGACTCTAGAAAATTACCACTGACCCACTCGGGAACAAAAAAAAAGTTATATCGATGCCAGCCAAGTGTTACAGAGTTTGATTTTTTAAAAATTTTCTTCAGGTCAATTCACAACTTTGTTGTTATTAGTAATTGCTTAGAAATAATATCCTAATAGAGGGTAAAACATTGTATATATAGGTTGAGTACGTTTTAATGAAACGAGTTTGGAGTCTCACCACGTCGTTACCGTATGTGTCTACAAGTCAAGTTATGTTATATTTAACTGCCTTAAGTCTTAACAATAGTCCTGCAGCGTAGTTTCTATTGCAAAAGGCTCCATCGTAAGGCTGTCATGTTCAAAGTACACTACTCCTCTATGATGCTTTACATAATTAATCTAGCGTACGAGTACGACGATTTCCCAACGCCCATTTCAACAATCCTATCACACACATACCAACAAGTACTGCTTCTGGCGGCTCGATAGATATGTTTTCGTATGGAATAGCATGGGTTCTCCAGCTTCTTGATTATGTTGCGTACTGTTGAACAGATATATCGTGCAAGCACAGATGGAGATTCTTATTGATTATCTTGCGTACTGTTGAACAGATATATCGTGCAAGCACAGATGGAGATTCTTATTGATTATCTTGCGTACTGTTGAACAGATATATCGTGCAAGCACAGATGGAGATTCTTATTGATTATCTTGCGTACTGTTGAACAGATATATCGTGCAAGCACAGATGGAGATTCTTATTGATTATCTTGCGTACTAGTGTTTGGGGCATTTGGACGACTTTTGCCACAGATGTTTGGGTTAATGAATTCTCAACTGTTACACGATGTGAAACTTTGCCTACCACAGCTGGGGAAAGACTTATTGAAAGTATCTTTCTAGATGGTCGCAAGTTGATCTAATCGTCTGTACGTGAATGTTGCACACATTTTACAAACAGATATTGAATTTTATTTGTTATCTTTCAGACGTTTTAATTGAGGGCATGGAGCTATTATATTTAGTGATAAAAAGCAGTACCTACATTTGACAGATTTATTGCGTTAGTAGAACGTTGATAGGTGTGGGTTGGGTTTATTGTAGCCTTGTACGAGTATCGCAAGTTGATAATTTATATGTGGGTTTGATCGCTTTCTCTTTTGCTATTTATATTATATAGTAATTTTTTTAGACGGAGGAATGAAAAGCGAAATTAGTCGTCAATGTCTTTATGTGGGCTTTAAAGGTTTGTCAAATTTGCGGCCGAATTTTACTTAATTAATTCATATTGTATTCATTTTTAAAAGAACTCTCTCTAAAGAAAAATATTAATGTGCGTGTGTGAAAAGCGCTTTAAAATTACATCAGTTAGGTTTTTGTTATTACTCCGAACATTTGATCGTTTTAAATTATCTGTTTTCTATGATAGCAATACAACTCTGAAGTGTTTCATTGCTACTGTTTTTTTTTCACACACATGACGTTTTACAGTGGGTCAGCATCAACTTCCAGGACTCATAACGCTAAACTATGGGACTCGATTCCCTACGGTGGACAGATATCAGATAGCTAGTTGTGGAACCACCACCATCAATAGCATTTGGTGGTTAGGGCGCTTGACTCGCAATCTGAGGGTCTCGGGTTCGAATCTCCGTCACACCAAACATGCTCGCCCTTTCAGTCGTGGGGGCATTATAATGTGACGGTCAATCCCACTATTCGTCAGTAAAAGAGTAGCCCAAGAGTTGGCGGTGGGTGGTGATGACTAGCTGCCTTCCTTCTAGTCTTACACTGCTAAATTAGGGACGGCTAGCACAGATAGCCCTCGTGTAGCTTTGCGCGAAATTCAAAACAGACCAAACCAAACCAAAACAATCAATAACATTTATATGAAATTTGTGAAGTTACAGATATCCATTGTGAGATTTATTTCTTTCAGCATACGTGTTACTATTCGTAGTTACTTGCATGAATGATAGATTAACATCTTTACGTGGTATTACTATGATATTGGCTGTTAACAAGACAAAATAGTTGTGACTCGTAGTAAGCCAAACGATTAATAATGGCTTGGTTGTTGTTAAATTCAAAGCTACATAACGGGCTATCCGTGCTTTGCTTACTAAGGAAAATGAAATAGTTTTCAGTTTAGGAAAAAATTGGAATAGAAATTTTCAACCTAAACGGCAAGTTATGTACAAGTTGGCTAAACATATCTGGAGTTTTCGATTTCTTCACATACGTTTATAATCTGCTATATTTATATTTGTAAGATATGTGTATGTGTTTTCTTATAGCAAAGCCACTTCTGGCTATCTGCTGTGTCCACTGAGAAGAATCGAACCCCTGATTTTAGCGTTGTAAATCCGAAGACTTACCGCTGTCCCACCCGAGGGACGTTTGTAAGATAAATAGAAATTATTACAGTAATTGATTTGTGTTTCTACTGCCTTACTTACTAAATTCTTATGTTGTTTAACTTTTGTTGCTCAAATCCACCTTTTCTGTCTTTGTTATAAACATATAAAATTATAGCTCATTTTTTAAATCTTATTTTAATTTGTCGCACGTTTATAAACAAAGAATGTTTGATATAAAAAAACAAAACAAAAACACTATGCACACCGTACCAAAGTATCGAAACACAGTCAAATGTTTCTTCTCTGTTGTCTAGAGAAGTCACTTACTTGAAAAATAACTTTCATATCAGAAAAAAGGGTTTGGTTGCGATCCGTGGGCTCGTTATAAGAGTGACTGTCAAATCACACTATTAGGTCAGACAAGAGTAACCCAAGAGATGGCAGTGAGTGCTGTTTACTAGGTGCCTTCCCTCTCGTCAATCGGCTGAAAATTAGGGACGGCTATGTATAGATAGTCCTTTGTATAGCTTTGCTCAAAAATTCTGATAAAGTAAAAAATATATCAGGTAAAATGCATTTGTTTTAAGTTAGTTATACATCATATCTAAAACAGTTTCATGTACAAATTGACTATGTGGTTATCCATAATGTTTAAATTATTTTTATGTACATATTGCCTGTGTGGTGATCCACAATGTGTAAAACATTTTATGTACATATTGCCTGGCTGGTGATCCATAATGTTTAAATTATTTTTATGTACATATTATCGATGATGATTCATAATGTTAAAAATATTTTATGTGGTGATCCACAATGTCTAAAATATTTTCCTGTACATATTGCCTGAGTGGTAATCCATAATGTGCAAGACATTTTCCTGTATATATATTGGCTGACTGGTGATCCATATTGTCTAAAATATTTTCCTGTACATATTTTGGTTGGATGGTAATCCTACGGTTTTGTGAGTTATCATTTTCGGACATTTGGTTACAAATATGAAAATATACAATCTGAGTAGTTTTTAACAGAATTTCACTTAACCGAGAAACAATGCTAACTACGTGGTGAACATCTGCATATAGATGCTAACTACGTGGTGAACATCTGTATATAGAATTAGGCAATTGTATAACTTCTAGGTTTGACGAAGATACTCTTATTCTAATTTTGGTAGGAATATGGGTTTGTACGTAGGTTTGTTTAGAACAAAGCCACATTGGGCTATTTGCTGTGCCCTCCGTGGGGAATCGAATCTCGGACTTTAGCGTTGTAAGTTCATAGCCTTACCGCTGTTCCACCGGGGTACTTTTGTAGAAATAATAGCCCATTAATAAAGGATCCTGTTAGCTTTCTGGATACTTCTATTTCGTTATATTCGTATCTACTTTCAGTATTCTGACAAGTGTGTATAAAAGATCGTCTTATATTCCAACATAGCGTAAACAAATTTATGCATTAATTTTTTATTTGAGTATTCGACATTAACTTTCTAATGTTTAGAGGAAGGAGAGTAAAAAAAGTATATAACGCTGTTTTTTTTTATAATAACATAAGGTATTTCGTTTTTATGGCATGTCAATGTGTTTACAAATTAATACTTTATTTTAATATTTTTAAAATTTCTGTTTTAACTTCTTTGGTCCAGGCAAGTATAATACAATAAAAACTGTTTTTGTTTTAATAACATTCATATTTTTTTATATAGTAATAATATTTTATATCAAGGAATTCGTCCACATTTTTTTTCTTTGGAAGGTTTCCCTACTAAGTGATCAGGGTTCCGGAATAAGCAAACAGAATGGTATATCAAATAATGGCCATACTTCAGGAACATTGGAAAGATTCCGAAGTGGACAAGTTCACGACAGCGAATTACACTTTAACGGTATTCCTAACGGAGGCGTCATGAACCTCAGCCGTAATCCGTCTAATTCTTCTAATTTATATACCAAACGACAAAATGGATTTACTACTTTTGGTATACCAGCCAATGGGGTCTCCAATTCTGATAAATCGGTATTTCTAGGAAGGCCAATTCCTCCTCCACCTCCTCCCGGGTCAGCAGCATTTTTTAGGAGTGAATTTGATGCTGCATCTTTCAGTGATTTTATGACGTCACGGCCACGAGCTCATGCACGATCTCTAAGTGATTTCGGCTACGCCTTACAGAGACAAGTGATGACTGACAGCGCTTCAGATATGCCAAATTACCATTCTTACGTGAATAGTGGTTTTTTTGCAAACGACCAAGATTCGATAAGAGATTATAGGAATGGGTTTTCTAGTGCAAACAGCAGTATTGGATATTCGACGCAAAGTTTGGAAAGGTCTAAATACAGAAGGACACCTTCACAAAGACGTGCCCGTTCACTGGAAGATATTACTCTTCAGATAACTGATGATGTAACATTGAGGAAACTACCAGAAGATCCTTTCCAGTACTTAGGAAGACCTGGAAGTAGAATGCCTGATGATGTACAGTCCAGTTCTACAGATAGTATACGAGACATTGCGCTGTGAAGTCTCTTACGTGACATATTATGTAAGAAATAAACAATTTGGCCTTAAATTACAAGAAATTAAGAATCACTATGATGAATATCAATTTTTCTTTTTGTTCAATGTCGAGAAAGCTTCATGCAAGAAAACTTTGTATACAATTATCATAACATTTTCAATGATTATGTGATGATGCTTTCCATCTAGTACAAACAATAAGGCATGTAAATATATATATCTGTATCTGCCTCTCTCTCGATATATATATATATATCCGTTCATCTGTGTGCATACGTATATTATCGTCACTACAAGCATTATTGAAATCTTTTTAAGCCTGTACAGTTGCATGGATTTTCTGTTTTTATTGTAGTTTGTATGTTCGTTATTTTTTAGCTTTCTGACTAAAATGTCAGTAAATCTTAAGACACAATATCATTACAGTTTTACAAATAATTTTATTACTGTACTAGCTTTCCAGTTCTTAGTTTATTTTAATAGTGTTACCAAAACTAAAAATATATATTGATAAACAAATTATTTAAAAGCAAGATATGTCAAAATATTGAACTATAAATTTAGAGTAAAATAATGATGACTAATCCACAAATATATCGAAGAAATCACAATACAAAGGCTCATCATGTTTCCTAGTTTTAATTTGTCAAGATATTATACTCATTCGTGTTGCTGCTAAAAAATGTGAAGAAAATTAAAGAAGTTTACTTTTAAGAAGAAATTTGCATGTGTTTAATATGTCGAAATACGAATACTGTAAATCATGTTTTCGGCAGTCTTATATTAAGTGTGGTACATCGAACATAAATTGTATTAGTTAGATAGATCTGCCAAATTTTGCAGTTTTTCCACTTACTGTTGTGAAATTGTTAAACATTAAAGAACTTATTATTTTGACATGAAGGAAATGTTCGAACCATTAGTTGTTGTCGTTGTAAAAGGGCATATGCACCCTCGTCTGTAATGTGTCATAATGTCGTTGTCATTGTCAAATCAAGCGTAGCATCCTTGTTTTATGGAAAATGTGAAAATTTATACGCATGTTTATATAAAATAAAGTATTTTTGTTCCCAAAAAAGTTAACAGGTAATCTTTTGAATCGTTTTCAGCTTTGACTAACTCATCAGTAGATCAGTGCTAAAAAAAGATAGATAACTAATACCGCGCCGCCATGCGGAAAATGGTGTTACTATAGTCAGATATTTCAAATTATAGAGGGTTATTGGGAATCTATGATTTGTGAAAGAATGCCAAGTTTTTAGTTTCCAGAAATGTATGCATGTGAAGAAATATGAAAAAATGCAATATGTTCATGTGACTGACTATATATTATTTAGGATAAACAGAGAAGTTTATAAAATAACGTTTCAAATTAACACGTGTCATTTTCAATTTGTAAATAAAAATTACGAAAATACTAACTTGTTTGAGTGGGAATTAAAAGTATAAACAGGTTCTTACACTTGTAAGCAAAACAAGTTAACCCTCACTCCCGAATTGTTAGATTTGAAAAATTTCAAGACATTTATATCAGTACAATTTGTTTGAGAAAGATCATTTACGGAAGGTCAAAATGTGAACCCTTTAGACGTTCCAGAGGTCAATGCATAGCAATTGTATAGAATATAATGAATATGTGCAATTAATTATATTCTTCTAATGCAACATCTTGATGTAATCATTCAACTGGAAATAGGTTCGAGGTTAAAGATTCTCTATGTTTTTGGGGGAATGAAATATAATTGTGTGATAATGGCGGCTTGTTAAAAGAATTCATATATGTTTTTAGTGTGTAAATGTCAGGCTGTGTTTATTTTAAATAAATAATTTTGCTTTTGAAAATTAAGAGGCTTTGTAACTATCATTTCAAAACGTTTCATTTTGCTCATATTTTAATCAAATATTTTTTTTGACGAAAATAGAAGTACTTTTGAAAGAAATTCCGTTTTCATAAAACGTTAGAAAGCTTCATTGATTAATATATTTTTTTTTGATGAAGAATCAAAAATATATTGTCAATTTATCTTTTTTGTTTATAGTGAAATGTAAATCTTCAGAGGAATTTCTCGTTTAACATTTACTGAGTGAAAGTTCTAAATTATTAGCTATTACTGAGTATTTTATATAAAGGAAGCATGTAATTTTCTTACGTGTATACTAGAAGCTGCCAGGTGGTTAAGGCGCTCGACTCGCAATCTGAGGGTCGCGGGTTCGAATCCCCGTCACACCGAACATGCTCGCCCTTTCAGCCGTGGGAGCGTTATAATGTAACGGTTAATCCCACTATTCGTTAGTAAAAGAGTAACCCAAGAGTTGGCGGTGGGTGGTGATGACTAGTTGCCTTCCCTCTAGTCTTACACTGCTAAATTAGGGACGGCTAGCGCAGGTGGCCCCCGTGTAGCTTTGCGCGAAATTCAAAAAATAAACACCTGGAAGTGGCAGATTACGTCATATTTTGATTGAAAACTTCGCATATCTTCGTGAAGGTGGTATGATAAAGAATTATACAAAAAAATGCTTGCAAATAGTATGCTCAGTTTGGATATTTCAAAGTTGAATACTTTTGTGACAAAGTTTGTTTGGTGTGACATCAGAAGGTCAGGTTTCAACTGTGAACTTCTAAGTGAAAATAAAGAGACATCGGTTCGTATTTAAATGTCATATACCTACATATTGTTATAAATTTTTCACATATACCTCCCTTACACACACAGACAACTGTAAAGATATATTAAACGTGAACTACTGGGCGATACTATTGGATTAGCGATATTATGATATAATATGAGCAAATCCGACGAGAAGATGTTGAAAAACAACGAAAGTTCAGGGGTTGTTCTGTGATGAGGTAAATATAATAAACAAAAACAATAACGGAATTTTAGTTTCTCAAGTTTCGGGTTTAACGGTTGGTTGTTTGTTTTAGAACGAAGCTACATATTCTGCGTCCACTGCGGAGAATCGAGTCCCAGATTTTAGCACTGCATGTCCGTAGACTTTCCACTGTCCCACCGGGGGGGGGGGGCTTGTTAGTTTACTTGTACAATAGCTAAACCTGAGCAAATAACAAAATAAACTAACAAAACAAAACACGTAATATTTTTAGTACACGCCATTAACATTCTGAATCTATCATTAAAAACGTATGATCGAAGTATCATGCACTTTAGAAAATACTAACTTTTGAGCAAGTGATATATTTATATTAAAATTACATTGTTCTATATATATATAACTATAGTTTAATATTTTAAGTTTTTGTAAAACATCCGATGGATAACAAGAGAACAAACTGACTTTAAACTTAGTAGGAAGTACTTTGAGCTCACTGTTTCTCTATATTATTTAGAATGACTTACTATCACATTTTAAAACTATATTCATTCACGTTGAAAGAAGGAAATTATACTTTCAAAAAAAATCCAGTTTAAATGAGCACTCCACAACAACATATGTTTGTTGCATACGCATTCACAAGTCATCTGCTATTTTCTTGACCTAAACTTTTCTATACTATTCCCCCCTTTACATAAAGATGTGGCAGCTACTCGATGAGTCTAGAGCAGAGAGTAAGTATTTTCTGAACTGACAACTACTTCCTTCAGACAAGTCAACAACATTAATGCTTCTACAGTGACTGCAACTTTTCCTATTTTTATTTGTCATATTTTAAGCTTACTATTCAAGCGCGGTTGTGCAACAGTAACAATATTAGATTTTTAGTACAATATATATATATATATCAAAGCCAAATTAATAAATCACATTTTAAAAGTGCGTTTCTGCAACTTCATCAATTTCTTTAATGATGAAAATGGAACTGAAGTTTGGATAAGAAGGCTAGAGGGACCATTATGGAAAAACAGTTTAGTTCAGTTTTTATTATCAGTCGACAGTTCTTGATTGAACAAATTTATTTCAATTTTTCCTGGTGTTAATACTAACTGTATGTTGAAACAAATTACAAATGTAGTATAAGAAAGGAATATAATAATTTTTTCCAATTTTATTTAAAAAAGCAATATTTCTCTATATGGCAAAAATGGAAGTCTTGATATACAAAAGTAGATTTCAGAAGTCGTCAAAGACTATTTATACACAACACATAGGCCAGTTCTATATTGGACGACTATTTATACACAGCATATATCGGTTGTCTATTGAATATCTACTTATACACAACACATAGATCAGTTGTCTATTGAACGACTGTTTATACACAAAACATGGACCAGTTGTCTATTGAACGACTGTTTATACACAACACATAGATCAATTGTCTATTGGATATCTACTTATACACAACACATAGATCAGTTGTTTACTGAACGACTGTTTATACACAACAAATAGATCAATTGTCTATTGAACGACTGTTTATACACAATAAATAGATCAATTGTCTATTGAACGACTGTTTATACACAACAAATAGATCAATTGTCTATTGAACGACTGTTTATACACAACAAATAGATCAGTTGTCTATTGAACGACTGTTTATACACAAAACATAGATCAATTGTCTATTGAACGACTGTTTATACACAAAACATAGATCAGTTGTCTATTGAACGACTGTTTATACACAACAAATAGATCAATTGTCTACTGAACGACTGTTTATACACAATTGTCAGTTAAATGTACAATATCACCTTGAAAGATGATATCTTATCAGCCTAGCCTATCTCAATTCTTTGTCCACACTTCACTCTTCCATGGTTACATCACCTACAACATTAAATTAATAGATGATTAGATACCCTTCTTTTAATAGCTTGGTTGACTTTCTGTAGCGGCTACTAGAATAGAAGCATAGATATATAAAAGGAAGAGAAGTATCATTGATTATGGTTATTTTTAAATCTTAAGCTTCAGTAGCACTTCCTAAGCTGTCATGTCACATACAGTGACCAGTCCCATTTACAGAAAGGGAAATACAGGTTTTCAGTAACCTCTCTTTCTCTCTCTCTCACACACACAGGATCATTAATCAATCATCAAAACCTTGTCAGTGAGTTATCAAGCATGCTGATATGAAAAAAGAAATATTTGAACTTGTTCTCCTGATCAAGAGTGACCACTTAAAGGCAAGATAATTGTAATTAAAAGTTTGTATAAAAAGTAAATAAATAAAGAAACCCGTACTGACGTTTCGGAAAATTGCGTGAAAAAAAAGAAGATATACCATACTCTAACTTGAGGAGGAGGGTTTCATTTTGATACTTATACTGACAGCCATCTACACAGTGATCACTTACATTGATCTCTGCAGCGGCTTATTAGTTCCAAGCCTTATAAGAACCATGAATTAGGTGCA